ATGCATGTATCAAGCTGGAAAATGTTTGTCCCACTAGTACAATTAGTAAGTTCATGTTAAGTGAGAAGACTTGCTCATTCATCAAGTTCTGCTCACTGTGAGCACTGGTGGAGAGTCCATTTATTCAAGTACTGTACGTAGGAACAATTTTAAGGCACTTGTACTTAGTTCATTTTGCGTGAGTAGTTTTTACTGTCCCCTGTACTCTACTTTCACATGTAAGAGGTAAATGTGCTTTTAGCCACACTACATTTATCTGACAGCTGGAATTACTGGTTACTTTACAGATTAAGATTTTACATACAAAACAGCATAAACCAAACAGTATATAAATTACTTGATCTCAGTCAAGGGAAACATTAAAATGCTTACATGATTTCATGTTGATGCATCCATAAATAAGATGAATCCAATAGTAGGTATTGTATAATAACACTCTGAAAAACTTTGAATGCAAGACATGTACTCATAACAGAGTATTTTTTATCTTTATCTTAATTCTCCTTTCATCACTCTCATTGTGTAAGAAACTGGGATGCACCATTAGGATGTACTTACCATAAGTAAATGATAGTGTTCAACTGCCATCTAGTGGTGGCATTACATTACAGTTGATACAAAATGCATGACTATATACATTTGAAGGTTGAAAAGTCACATCTAAACCAATTCCTTTCTCATATTTGATCAAACACAAACAAAATTATCGACCAATTAAAATGTCTTACTGTAGCGCTGTCACATTTTAAAAATCTATTCTTTGAAACCTCTTTTTTCATTTATATCTATCTATATTTATATCTGCTTCACCCTAATGACAGTATCACCTCCTCACAGCTGTTTGTGAGAGACAGAAATAGAGAAAAGACAGAGACAGACGTATCTGAAGACATGGTAGTGTGTTCATTTAGTGTAAGTGAAGTTGTAAAGACTCCAGAGGTCACAAGAAAGTTCCAATGTACTTAATAGTTGTACTTGTATTCTGTGAGGCTGTTGTTATTCCACCTCTCAACTCCACCAGATCTTTCTTTTTTCTTTCTCTCTCCCTCTAATGTTCCTTTCCTCCATCCCTGTTCAGGGTGGGGGTGTTCAGCACCGAGGCCAGTCGGACACGAGATTGGCGCCAGGTTTGATTGCGTGTTTCCGTGAGAGTATCAAATCTAAGCAAAGTGTAACAAGCCCCAGCGGAGCAGTAACCTTCGAAACTCACACCTGCATCCACGGCACTTTACCCTGCCAGTGCTACTCTGTACTGTAAATGGATGGCTGTTATTCACATTAATCACATCATCCAGATGTGTTTTTACACGAGGCATTCCAACATCCAGGCAGAGCTCCCTTTTGAGGACATGAAGCAGGTTAAGTTCACCACAGTGCACCTCCTGACAAAGCAAACCATGTAATCACAGCACAGATTGACAGCTCTACTTAGCAGCTGAGAGATTCTTCAATCTGAAATGTAAATAGATTCCTTTTTGCCAAGCAGAGCAAACTCTTCAAAACCCATTGACATCTAGTTGATCTCCCCCTTACTTGAGAAACAGAAAAGGTCATGACAGCCTTGGAGGCTTTAATGACGTGTGAAAAACAATGAAAACTATGAACAAAATCACCTCAGTCTGGGCTTTGCTTTTGTGTCCCTGCTCTTTCAAGATCATGAAAGGCAGGGCACATGATTACCAGGCCAGGTCTGGACTGCTCGTTAGAAAGCACCTATGCTGATTTCATGAGGAAAATATTACAGAGCTGGATGTTTTCTGCACTGCAACTGATCGTTGAGGCATTTGATCTACCTCCCAGTGTTTACTGATGTCAGGAAATTAGTTCATTAACACAGGCGCCAACCTTTGTAAGAACCTGGCTATTCTGAAGAGAGCACATCAAACCATTTGACTTACAAGCATTCTTAATCAACCGTTGCTTTTGATAGCCCAGATGTGCAACGTATGACAGAGCAGGAAGTGGAAAGTCTGGACAAATGTCTGCACTGGGAAAAAGAGAGTCCAAATACGAAGTCGTTTTTCTTTATTTGATATGATAGTTGTCATAGAGAAATGAAGTATTTATCTATGGTATCTCTGGCAGAGGATTTGGTCACTTGACATCTGATCTCACTGGAACGGGGAAGAAGATCAGAAGTCACGCCTGTTTGCTCCTCAGCACCCATTGGGCCGATGCCTGCAGCCAGCCCCCGCTGTGACCTCACATACTTGATAGTGCCAAGGAAATCGTCCCCTGGGTGTTACAGCACGGCTGAGAATGGTGAATGAAAGAGGGTGGGGTCGGGTTATCCATGTGGTGCACTTACAATTATTCACACAACATTTTGCACTGATGTATGAAGCCATAGTCATGAGTCTTTCCCTCTACCTCTGTTTTGTCCCTCCTGTCATAAATTCTGAGGTCCTCCTGTGCAAAACCTGCATCCTGCTCCATTCCAGATGTGTTTTTAATGGCCTCTCTGGGCCACAGACAACTCTGCCTCTCTTGGAGATACCGAGGCCTTGCTGACCTGCAGTGACTCCTCAGTTGAAGGGTGACTTGACAATCACAGCCTAGGATGACTGGTAACAAGTGTTCACGTCTAGCAGTTGTTTGCAAAGAAAGAGCTCTTTTGTCACCGAGTACATTTATAATACATACATCTGTGTGTGTTTGTTTTTTTTTTGTCCTCTGCCTTGATTTTCTACACTCAATTTTAATATTGCCTTTGATTTACACACTGCAGCCTGGTCACTCATAATCATGTCGTCACGTGCTGTGATATACAGCCCCATTAATATTCTCACTCTGGTCTGGCTATGGGACAAGGGCGGGTTCTCATCATGCTCAAGCTCCAGAAACTCAACTCTTGCCAGTATTGAGCACATTAAAAACGTCCAGAGGAAACATCTCACGGTCCAACTGCGTCAAGTCAGACTTCTTCCACTAAACTGGAAACTTTGGATTTGCTGCTGAGTCTGTTTAGGGTGAGATCCAGCTACAACTACTGTCTCTCCAGTTTGGGTCATGAATTGAGATCTCACTTCTAGCACCTGCTGAAACCTTGTCAAATGGTGATTTTCATCATTTTGCTTCCAGAAGACACCTAAATATGGCTGCAGAAGCTTAGTGCTCTCTTGCTGTCAAATGAAAATTCATTGTCTGGTGCTTTATTGTGTTACTGTCCATAGAAGAGACAGAACACAGCCATTTTCGACCTTCTCTCTCATCTCCATCCATCCACAGTTTAGGGTCAGTCTGTCTATGACCATAGCTGACCACAGCACACCTAAGTAAACAACCCCCTCACCAGGCTCACAGGAGGACAACTGAGCTGAGACAGACTCTACAGGCTCCCTCCCAGTTATATCATGGTAGTAGGACCTGGCCTGTGTCCCAGGAGCCAGGACCTCTCTGAACCGCTGCAGACCAGACAAGACGCTCATTGTGTGGGAATGTGATGATGAGGCATGGCGGAAGTTTCCATGACATGGGTTTCTGCATATTCTACACATTTCTTTTCCGAATATATTCTCCAAGTCTCTCAGTGTTGCTAATGCAAGGGTTAACAAAGGATATTTTGTATTTCTGTGAGGAAGCACATGGATTTGGATGTGTGCCTCTAGAGAAATTGCACAAGTGTGGGGTTTATGTTGTGGAAGTGACATGACACTGATATCATAACACATATTGCCACATATTGTGTGTGGGTAAAAGCATAAGATGATATCTGAGCGATGCCATTCAATGAATTCAAGATATTTTGTTCTTGACACAAAATCACAGTCCTTGCAGCATCCTCTGGTGTGGGATGCTAATCACTGCAGCTACAAACCCACCATGTAATCTTTCATCAGTGTCAGCACAGACGAATGCTGTTCAGCTGAGCATTATCACTAGTAGAATACAATTTACATCTAATCTACTAAACAAATTCACTTATTTTCTATTCAATTATTCTGATAGCAGTACTATATCTCATTTACAGACCACAGAGATGGTCAGTGAAGTGTAAGGCTGTTCTTAAAGACTTGGGGGTCATGGGGGCCAGCTAAAGTTCAGTTTCTGCTCTGTAGAGCAAATGCCTAATTTTATATTAGATATGGTTAGAAGAGCCGGCAGTATAATTGGTTGGCCTGGTGAGGCAGGACTGGGCAATGCCTGGAGATATGGAGACCTAATTAAAAGGCTGAGAATACTAAAACAATTCACGAAGGCATCACGACTGGGATGTTGCTGCCAGGATTCCCTCGAGGATTTCATTCAGTTGTAAACATGCTGGTGCACTCGCACACACAGACGATGCACAATAATGAAGATGGCTGTTCACTTAAAAAGTACTCTATCTAGATAAACTTTAGGCTTGTAGCATGTCTTTTCAGCGTATAACTATTTTGAAATTTTGCACATAATTATTTACTTATTAACTTAATAGTTACTTAAAAGTGTGCAGAAGTACATATAATATTACATCTTTTGTTTTTTTATGTGTCAACTAACTTACTAACTGGAATATATGTTCATACATATTTATACATATGTGGGATGGATCAAATGTTTTATATGACTGTGAAATAAAATCTAACTCACTATTCAGAAATGTAAGTTGCAGATACTGAGGTGTTTTTAACCCTTGGGTTAACTTTCATGATGGAGTAGCAGCACCATCTACTGTGAAAACAGGGTAGTAATAAAAATGTAAATTGGGGGAATAATTGAGCCTATTTTGGAAAAATAACTACAGTGGAATCCTTTGAGAGCCCAAAATACAAGAAAGAACAGCATTCATTATTATAAAATAAGGAGTTCAGTTGTAATTTCTCTAATTGCATTCCAACATCGGATATACTGTCACTTTAAACTATAATTTTGCTGATTAGACATTCATGGCTCCAATCTTTGGTAAGTAAAGCAGCCAGTCTTAACTGTGTTAAAAGGTACTGGCAGGTGTTGCCTTACTGCTGGTATGGGTACAGAACAATTAATCTGTCAATAATAAATACAATTTAAAAAGAAAATGAAAACTAAAGGGTTATTATTTATTCTTTTGAAAAAGCAATCAGAAAAGGCACAGTCAAAGAATATATTCATCACACAACACAAATCAAATCATAGGTAAATCAACATGAATTTATCCTATAGCATTGGCTATCATTTCTAAATCTAAGCCATCCAGGGGCAAATCAAGTTCAGTAGTTTTGGATATGATAATGTTGAAAATGAGGGAAAAAAGAAGAATTGTCATATTGAATGCATACAGACAAATCTGCAAAGAGTTATTGGCCCTATTCTTGTACACAATAACACTATTTAAAATTGATTAAAAAATATATTTCAGACTTAAAAAGCGAAACCATCTCCAGTCATAAACATTTCATGTTATGTTACGCTGCAATGTTCTTAAACCTTACTGTGCTTACTTTACCTAAAAGTAATTTTCAGAATATAAAACAACAGCACCAAAAAATAAAAACAATAAACTTAAAAAACACAGCAAGCACTAACACTAAAAATCACAACGACCAATATCAGTCACTCAAGTACTGGAGGAGTTGTAGTTAGCACTGATCATTAGCACCATACTGTATGTCACAACACGGCCAAGAAATCTGCTACATAGATGTTGACTTTTGGTGAAAAGTGAAGAGAGGAGTAAAGGTTGAATATGTTTGCTATAGTTCTCTGTCAGCCTAAGAAAGTGCTACAATGCAGGTCAAGTTTTCCCCTGAAAAATGTACTTTTAAGTTTCTGATGATCACTAAAAGACTGTTAGTATTATCTATCAAAACCTTAGTCACAGAGTAAATATAGAAAACTAAGACAACTGTTAGCTGCCAGGTTATTTTGCATTATCTATAATGTTCTGACCTTTAGTTAGGGTCAATGTGCCTTTAAACTGCCCTCCGACAATGTAAACTCCGAGCAGCCTTTGGGTGGTACAGTATCTAAGGATGGTATTGCATTATTTGGTGGAAGCATACGTGTAACCATACTGTACAGATGAAATCTGAGTTGAAAATACCTGAAACTTTATTTCACTGACATCAAGTACAGGTGTGGACATAGGGGCCAGAGTTCACAGGCGACTTGCTGTGAGACGTTCAGGAGACAGACTTCTTTTGCTGTTAAATGCCTAAAAAAAGATAAGGATGATGATGATTATATTTACAACTTTTGAGTAAAATGAAAATAAAAATACAAATAAATAGATTTTGAACTACATACCCTTAGGGCCAGGGGTGTGCATGCATGTTGTGAAGTGAAAAGAGTGATATATGAGTTTGATAGGAATCTGACGTTTATGAGTAGCTGAGCAAACCCAACAAAAATCACTATGTGAACAAACCCCCCAACAGTGCCTATATCTTTCTGTGTTTGTTGCACTGTCAAGCCTTATAGAGACTTACAAGACTGCGACTTGGGCTGAGAGAGCGAGAGCGTACAGGGCTGGCACTTCTGCTCCGGCTTCTGCTCCACTGCAAAAACAGACTTGTCGCCATTAAACACAAAAGCCTTTTCATGTGCTGTCATGCTCGTACATTACTCTCTAGAGAAACAATGAATTATGATATTTTATTAACTATTGTTCAGTCATTACCAGAGCACCTCTTCTCGTCACCGCCTCGCCCTTCACTACCACAGCATCTCCTTCCACCAAGGCCGGCCACACATGGTACAACACCAGCGGAGCAGTGAACTCGGAGTCGTAGCTGCGACGATACCTGTCAGACGGAGAGGTGAGGGGAAAACAGTGGGGGAGAGCTGTGAGTATTTATGTGTGTGAGTGTCATCGAAGTGTTGAGGGCGGCATCTAGTGGTAGAGGCGGCAAATAACCAATAGAAATAGATATCAATAGAAGTGATTGGCGGCAGTTCATGGGGTGGTGTTTTACAATGACTGTCGGGAAATGTAGCACTACAATGCATCAAAACTGACCAAATGAACACCACAGCTTTACCTAATTCCTGTAAAAGAACAAACTTTTATAAATAATTCAGACACAGTACTGCACAAAGGACTGACTTGATGTCGTTGTAAAGTTCTCCATCGCTGGCAAATGCCAAGTCAAGTGGGGGGTCCAGTGTCTGCATGGCAAAGGCCACCCTGCATGTGTCCCTGATCATGGCACTGATGAGGATAAAGTCCACCTCTGGCGGGAAAGAGATCCGAGGGTTCACATTCATGGCATTGATCACATCCTGGGGAGTCAAATACACAGTCTCAGTATCAAACTTTATTTGTTCATAAATGCTGCAGAGGACACATGGGAGAAGTATTTGGTCCTACATTGACGCTGGCCTGAACATCATAGAGGTCCAGGTTTCTGACAATGTAGTCCACAGCTGCATCCTCCAGACTTTCCGGCCCAAAGTGGGATGGGGACAACGTCTTTCTCACACGCAGCTTGAACTGACGATAAGCCAGTTTTGCTGTCTTAAAGGATTCCTGAGACATGATAACATGAAAAAATATACCAGCCAATCATATACAACCCTGATTAAATCAATCAACTAGGCTGTCCAAATAAACAAGACTTGGGACTCATTTTCTCTGCCTTCACTTGCCAATCTGCAGGTGGCTCTACAATAAAAACAGTCTTACCACGACAGCAATGAAGATGATTTTCTGGACCATCTCTAAGTCTGAAATGTAGCGTCGAAGCAGGGTCTGGGCCTCCAGACGCTCCACAGCATACAGGTCACTGAAACGTGATACGAGGCGTGCGTGGCGTGAGGAGTTAGTGAGCTGGGCTCTGGTGGGAGACTCACTCCTCATGGGGCTGGAAGAGCGACTGAGCCTGGGCAAAGGGCTTGGAGAACGACTTCTCACCAGCCTGGGGAGACGGAGAGAGAAACATATAAAAAAGCACATCATCACTGTGTGTATACAGTATATACGTTATATGCAGGTGTGTGTTGGGTGCAGCTGTACCTCTCCTGCAGCATGGCCTTCTCTGTGCTCAGGTAGGACACTTCATCTCTCAGCAAGCGAATCTGCCGTTCATAGTCATCAAGAGCATCCAGCTTCCTCTTATAAATCTCCACCTGCTCGAGTGCGGATCGCAAACTGAAACACAGACACACTTCACATCAACAGAGGAGTAGGCTACATAATGTATGTTGTATTTTAAAAATGAATACATTACAGCAACGTTTGACAGTGATCACCCACTCTGCTTTCAGTTGTAATATTTCGTCTTCAGTGGCCAGCAGAGTGGTTGCTGATTTGCTCTTTGTCTCATCCAGTTCATTCTGAGCATCGGCCAATCTGTTAGAACAAAAAACTATGTTTTATGTATTTCATTGGCAGTGCAGGAAATTCAGCTGGGTGGGTATAAAGTGAAATACAATGTGCAAGCAACATTTATATACATCCCCTTGCCCATGGACTTATATGAGGACATGTAATATGTCAGTTATCTAAACATGAGCAATGTAAGTTGAGGTAGGAAACCCCAGCTGGCTGCAGTCCATTTGCTCCACTTCTACTCTGTCTTATTTCTCCTTGACTCACTCTGCTCTGACAGAGTCCAGCTGCCGGCGAGTGGAGCACAGCTCAGTGTCCATCTTCAGCATGTCGCTATCATGGGAAGCAGAGAGCTCCCTGATCCTTCTGTTCTTTTCCACTGAATCCTGATAATAACAAATGATGATACAGTACAAGGGACATACAGTAACCACAACACCAGATGGGGAAATTATTTGAATTGGCTGAACATTTTTATGTATTTTCTGTCAATGCTGTAGTGTTACACTGGATAATGTCTCATTACTAAATCCATTAACATTCTGTGACATTAAGCCTACAGTCAAATATTATGTCACCTGGATGAGCTGTAGACTGGTGTCATCAGTGACTGAGGGCCTCGCCATTGAGAAACAGGTTCCAAGCCACGGCAGCAAGCGCATTTTGAGAGTGTCCACTCCAGCATAGTGTCCACCTGAGAGAGTGTTGAAATAGTTTGTGAGTAGTTACGACCTTGTTAATGCTTTATAAATAAAAGTCCCATACTTCCAATGTAAAGCTTACCTTCAGTAGCTGTGAGGTTGAGGATGGCGAACAGTTGGCCCTGGATCTTGGAGGTTAGTTCAATCAGCTCACAACATCTATTTAGATTCTGGTCACAGGAAATAACCTGGGAGGGTAAACATGAGTCAGTCAATGAGTCCATTTTTACATAAAAACCCATAAAGCACTTGAAATTATAAAAATCTACCGCCTGTATCCTATAGGCTTGCTCTTTTCTGTTGTGCTTTCTATATATTTATATAGATATATATATATTCTATGTTAAAAAGGTTATTTTTCACGTTTTTAAAACCTTAATAAAAAAGCATTGTTATTACTATCCAAGAGAAGCAACAGGTAGCTAGCCCACTTCTGTTGCAAGACACTATGACACAGCAAAAAGTGTAATGCCATTCATTGACTGTTTTGTACATTTGTAGTGTAACCAGCAAGTAATCACTATATTTATATAGTGTCACTCTTTCTTTCACTCTATAAGTTTGGACAAGTCATTTCCAGTCGCTCTGCAACGCGCCGTTCCGGTGTGGCCACACGGCGGATTTCTACAGGAAGTAACAGGACGTGAACCATCAGTGCAATAAAAGATCTTTGGAATAGTCCGACAGTAGCCATGGCGACTGGCGTCCGTAGCAACCAAACTCTACCGGGAAATCAATGTAATCTAAACAAGTGCATTCCTTCACTGTAAAGTTTTAAATGATGCATGCATTTACAACCACTGCACCTTTCCTGCGTTATCCGTAGATAACATAATAATAATGGGTACAAAACAAATCCATTTTACGGGAGTGAAACAATCACCAGTCGACATTAGTAAACAAAGCCACTTATAATTTCTAGAGGAGGAGGGTATAAGTTACCTCCAACGCTTTGACTCGACCTCAACTGTATGCTACACACATAACGTTATAATATTTAGCCACTAGCTAATTCCTGAGATAACCATCGTGGAAGTGACAGCCAGGGTGGCCGAGGGCACTGATGAAGTGCTTTGGTCAGATTTGGGTCGGTCATTACTTATTAATGAACTTACATGGTAGTCTTTGTGCCAGCTCTCAAGCTTGTCCTGTAAGACGCTGAAGGAAGATGTGTTGGTCAGTCTCCTCAGATTGTCGGCCATGTCCGTCCACAATAACTACCGTAATAGGTTTAAAATGCCCCGGGAGGAGGACAACAGCCGGGGGGGGGGTATAATCTCTGAGGGAAGTGCAGTAAAAATTCCTGTCCTGGCAGCTTTCTCCACCTAACGTTACGACACAGATGCCAAGCACCGCCTCAGTTGTGGCAACCAAGGAGACGAGGCGACAACCAAACCACAGTGTTTTAAATAAATAACTGGTGACGGATGAACAGAGAGCCCTCTCAGTCAGTGCTCTGCAGGCTGCAGGCTCTGCTCTCCCGTCGTGTAAATACTGTAATGTCACACTGTCAAACGACACCAAAGGCCGGCAGAGTAAACCTTCTGTGACACAGATATATGCTGATGTTTCCGCCCAGGTGAGCTGTGTTGGATCAAATCCGATTATAATACAGTCGCTCTTACTAAAGTTGCCATACTAAATTGCATTACATGTGCACGGAGTGTTTGGTAGATTATTAGCACGTTTAATAAGACAACAACAACAATAATACATTTCTAAAAAAAACTCATTGGTGAGCATTGGTGATATTAGGTCATTTAAAAAAGGATGAGGCCCAAGTCATACTAGGCTAAGGCTAAAAGATAAACTACATAACGTTACGTCTATCATTTCAGATTTGGTGTTAAACAATAATAATAATAATAAATGGCATTGGGGCACTAATATCTTTACTAATACCTTTTTATACTTTTATTTATTTATTTTTTAAACCAAATACAGTTTGTGTATCATTATTAATAAAAAGGGAGAGCTGGTGTTATGGCCCGTCTGGCAGTTTACCTATGGAAAATATGAATGGACATGTTTTTCTATTTTAGGATCCTTCTGTCATTGGCTGGTTGAACTTGGAATGTACCATCTTTAATTGTGATAGAAATGTTCATTGTTTGGGGCTCGCTCAGTGCAAATCATAGATATATATGAGTGCAAATAATAATGCCCTCGGTTTGTTCTCGTTCGTAAGAAGGTAACCTTTTTTATTCGTGAGTAGGTATCTTCCTCTCAGTCTCTCCCAACATTTCCAGTTGTTTCGCCTTCCACTGTGGAAAGTGGTATGTTCCCTGTCACTCGGCAAGCAGGAGAGGGAGGGTCAACATGGCGTCTGAACAGGTCCGTTATGTTCAATATTTGTTGTTATTCTTGCATTTTGCTAATTGTTTTGCTGCGGTGTTTGTTAAGAGGGCAATAATATGTCTTCCCAAGTTAGCTGGTATAAGAAATATAAATGTAGTCGGCTGTGTTGTCGGCCCCACGATGATATCAGTGGGATAAACGCTGGCCTTCGTTATTATAGGGAGCGTTATGTAGACATAAAAATCTTATTATTGTAGCTAACCTGCTGTTTGACTGCAAAGTAATTTTGCGAATATAAAGAGCATAGACTCTGTCTGATAATGAGACAGTCGAGTTAATTTCTATTTTGCTGCCAAAATGAGTGCAGTTTATTTTTAGTTATGGCCACAGACGGGCAGTCGCGGGGCATTTAACTGAGAGGCATTCCAGCGCAGAGAAACAGGAGACACTGAAAATAAGTAGGAACTAAACCCTTGAGTTTGATATGACTAGGGACAGTAAATGTAAATTTGGGGAGAGTTTCATGTACAGAAAAATCCATGTTTTAATCTGAGCGAGAAACGCACAAAAAAAAGATGTTGCCTGACAACTTCTTGTAAAATGACAGATTTTCTGATCATCTATTGGAGAGGATATTTGATTTTAAAAGAACAACTCCAGTATGATCTCTATAAAGGGTGTTATAAGCCTAAAAATTGTAGGTGAGTAGTTATTTTTAATGTGTAATTTCATGACTGAAACATAAATACTGATTCCTTATGGTCCTCCTCACCGCAAAGTGTCTCAGAGATGGTTTTGCCTTCCAGGAGAGTTCCAACGGGCCTGTGAAGAAGTCCATGCGGGAGAAGGCTATAGAACGACGCACCATCAACAAGGAACACAACAGTAACTTCAAAGCAGGCTATGTACCCATAGAAGAAGAACGTCTTCATAAGACAGGGCTGAGAGGACGCAAGGGAAACATGGCTGTTTGCATTGTTGTTCTCCTCTTCCTCCTCGCCTTAATTAACCTCATTGTGAGTACTGCAAGACTCATTGTACTTATTCATCTAATGGGTCCTCTGAAGAACAAAATGGTGGTTAAGAGTTGACACAGAATGATCACTACAACAACAACTCTGTCCCCCTCAGATCACTCTGGTCATATGGACAGTGATCCGGATCGGTCCCAATGGCTGCGACAGTATGGAGTTCCATGAGAGTGGCCTGCTGCGCTTCAAGCAGAAGGCGGACATGGGCATCGTTCATCCACTGCACAAGAGCACAGTAGGAGGCCGTAAGGACCAGGACTTGGTCCTGGTGGGCAACAATAATCCGGTGAGAAACGCAGTGTACATTTACAGTGATGACTGAGCCTGTTACAGAGAAAATGAACTCTTCTCTTTTATTTTATGTATGTTGTTCCAGGTTGTGTTCCAGCAAGGCACTACTAAGCTGAGTGTAGAGAAGGACAAGACCTCAGTCGTCAGTGATGTTGGCATATCCTTCACAGACCCTCGCACGCAGAACACGTTCTTCAGCACAGACTTTGAAAACCATGAGTTCCATTTGCCCAAAGGAGTCAAAGTCCTAAGTGTTAAAAAGGCGTCTACTGAAAGGGTGTGTATCATGGTTATAATGTCTGATAGCTTCATTTATTATGTTAGTGTTTCACAACCTGTGTACAAAGTACTGTCAGTACACAATATCCCATAATGGTCTCAAGTGAAATGTAATTTTTAGAAATGTTGCAAATGAATACATAACAGATTGAAAAGTCGCCAGGAACACACTGAGCTTTGTCAGAATAAAATGGAGTTAGACTCAGGTATAAATTCAGTTTTCAACACGTCAATAGCAGAATAAGTATCTGAAAGTCCTGTAGGCCCAACCAAAGCCCAGATTGGAAATCTGAATATCCAGAGAGTTCACCAATGCTTCCTGGAGGGTTTTAGAGAATCTGAAAGAGAAGCAGGTGTCCAAAGCTGATAAATACAGATCCGAGAAGACTCAAGGCTGAGTTTACAATGGTAAAACATACAGCTGGAAGATATTTTAGCTTTAATAAATGGGGGAAAATATATTTCAGAACTTGGTTTGACATTGCATTCTATATTTTTACATAAAGTTTATAACACACATATGTGTGAATGATAGTGGAGTCTAAATACTTTCTAATGCCTGTGTATATGCTGTTTGTAGTGTTGACAAATATAATGCTTTGTCTCTGATTTTAGATCACCAGCAGTGCAGCATCTGACCTAAACATTAAAGGTGACAGCAAGGCCATCATTCGTGGAAACGAGGGCGTCAACATCATGGGCCGGACCGTAGAGTTCAAAATGGGTGGAGGCATTGAGCTCAGGGCTGTAAGTCTGAAATGCACCAACATGTCCTGTTAATATGACTGCATATGTGACACTGGGGTTGAGGAGTGCCTGTTTTCCACGTTGGTACAAAATTCCCCAGATCTTGTCCTTTTAAAATAAGTGTTGCATGAATACAGTTTAAAGCTAATGAAGATGAATGTGTAAGGATGGGTGGGTTTTCTCTTTGCAGGAGAACAGCATCATCCTCAATGGATCAGTCATGTTCAACGCTACACGCATCCCCAATTCTGCCGCAGATGTGTATTTCGATGAAGGTCTGGAGAGGTACAAGCTCTGCATGTGTGCAGATGGGACTCTGTTCCGTGTACAGGTGAAATATCGCAATATGGGCTGCCAGACTTCAGATAACCCATGTAGAAAAGCTCACTAGGAGACTTGACTGGAATCTACTGTATCCCCCCCACAATCTGTCACCACTGATGTCAGATTACAAATGTGCATATGTAGAACATTTTATAGGCCATTCATCATTACTTGCACATAATGATACCTCTGCAGCTCACCTGATTAATTCTGTGCTCCTGATTTTGTTGCCAAACAGGAATTGTGTTACAGTTCATTGCCACTTGGCCAAAGATATTAACAGATGTAAGTGCTAAAGTGTTTTTATTGTTCCGCAGGTTTGCCAACTTTATCTAAAATGTATAATGCCATATCATTGGTTTACATTGCCCATTGATTGGAGTTAGAAGCTACAGTATTTACTTTTTGCCTTACCGTCCAGTGTTACTAATTTACAAACCTTGCAGACGGATTGTGTATTTTATTATTTGCTGTTCATTGTTTCTGGCAGCTGTGTTTGATATTTTCTTTATTATATTCACTGACAAGGGTGAGACACTACATGATTATACTGATTTGTGTATTATTAAATTTGGGATAAAGTGTAAAACATAAGATACATTTTAAGCCGTCCAGTACGCAGAGAAGGTCTTTTTCTCCACATTTTGGATTGTCTATAATGCACGTGCCAATGGATTTACAAGGGAGGATATAGAATATAATATATATGTATTATTCTAATTTTGTTGCAAATCCTTTTTACAACAACATAATACAGTATTGAAAAACAGAACGAGAGCGAGTGCACTAAGTTATGCTACAGATTAATGCAAATCTCTTTAAATGTTGATGTTTATGAATGTCAGGAAAGTTTAAATAATCAGTAGCTTGGTTTGAAGCCTATATTGAGTTGTTTGACTTTTGTGCAATATAGTATAAAAGATTTGACTTTCATTTTGCTTTGGGTTGTCTTGTCCGTTTTATAACAGTGCTGCTCTTGAGAAATATCAGAAAGTATCACAAAGCCTGTTGTGAGAGTGTTTTTGATCAACTAAATGAAAAAAAAAGAAAGGCAATCAGCCTTATTTGAATATTTGTCCAACATTTCATTGCTATGTTTGTTTCAATAAAGAAACAAGTTGCTATGTGAAACTTCTTATCCTTGGTTTCAGTAAATGTCTCAGGTGTTTACATGCTCATTTAAAGTCATAAAAGAATACTGTGCCTCATTATGCTGTTTTATTGTCTAATAGAATGTGCAACCGTGGGCATGGTCCTCCTTGCCATAAACCCTCAGGATCGTGGTTATCTAACATACATAAACAGGAAAACAATGACAGTAAGACATTAACTAGACATGTAAATGATTGAATGAATCACTGAATGGCATTTGGGTTAGTGCATGTTATGCTCGACGCAGTGAAATATTCTTCAGACTTTGATCAGAACTGCTGGAGACAAAGTTAATACACTGAAAGCACTCTGGGTGTGAAAAGAGTCACAGGTTTTCCTGTCAGCTTGTCAGACAGTGGATACGCAGGTGAGTTTGATGTTTTTAGTTAATTTACTGTTTGTATTATTGTATATCATAGATTTCTTTTAATTTAATGAATAACTGATGAAGAATTATACATGTTTTGCTTTTGATCTAATAGCATTTGATTGTAGTATTGATTGTACTGTCTTTCATACAACATATCCTAATGGTAAAAATTGACCTTATTTGTTTCTGTTATTCATGATGTATCTGTTCCCTCAGATTGACGGGTTGCGATGGCAGTGGCACAGGGGCCATTCTTGGCTGCTGTACTGCTCTTTGTCTCCCTGGGGCTTCATCGCTCCTCTCCCCTACCTGCCTGCCCAGAGCCCTGCACCTGTCAGAGAGCTCCCCTGTTGAACTGTTCCTCCTCTGGCCTTTCCCTGGTGCCACAAGGCATCCAAGACTCTGTCACCGAGCTAGACTTGTCTCATAACCTCCTTGACTCTGTAACACTCGACCAACCGCATCGTAACCTCAAGAATGTATGGCTGGGAAACAATAGTATCACACGCTTGTCCCTCTGCATCGAGAGAAAGGTGGGAGGCCGTTATGTCAGTGGCAGACATCTACGTCGCTTGAGACCTTGGAGCAAACAGGGATGTGTATCTTGGGCCCCCACCCTGCAGCTCCTCTCTGTTGAGAGGAATCAGCTAGAGCAACTCCCAGAGGGTGAGTCAGGTGTAATATAGTTATACACCCATATATAAAACCCTATCACAGCACATTAACAGTATAATAAGCATAGCTTCCAGTGATATCAGCACAAAGAAATTGTGTTCTGTTACATATTAAAATGTCTTTACTATTGATTGGGATAAAGATCTTGCACGGGTGCTCAGTCTGGTTTAGAAGTATCTTCACACGTTCAGAAATATCAAACACTCTCAAACACTTCCATATCATCTGTTATCTATATATTCAGTGCATGAAAGTAGAGTGTCTGTTCATAAACTTAATAATCAGGTTTTAATTTATTTATCAACCATTCAGATCATTTACATTAGTAAAAGTAGCTTAAACATTTGCCCCTCTTATGGCTCTATCATTATATTATAAGACTATTTATTATATATAGGCCCTTTATGTTTAATGTATACTTTATATTTTATCTTCTATTTTATTTTTTATTATATTCTTAAGGTTAGGGATTTTAATTTTAGTCTAATATAGGTTTAATGTATGTTTTGTATTTTGTATGCTACTGGATACTTGAATTTCCCTCGCGATAAATAAAGTATCTACCTACCTACCTACCTACCTACCTACCTACCTACCTACCTACCTACCTACCTACCTACCTATCTATCTATCTATCTATCTATCTATCTATCTATCTATTATTGATGAGGCTACGTGTAAGCAGCACTTAAATTCTGTAGTTGGTCAAGGTGGAGCTAATTTAGTTACTTGACATATGTAGTTTAAACTATACCATTGCATCATATTTTACTAACAACTGATCATCTGTTTTGTATGTGAAATCTTAACCTGAATAGTCACTAGTAACTACCACAGCAGGTGAAGTAGTGAAGAAATGTAATATAAAGTAATGTAAAATGAAAGTACCTCAAAACTGTACCTCAGTGAAGAACTTAAGTAAATGTACTTTCCAACACCACTGCCAACACACATGTACTGTGTAAAAAAGTAAATTGAATAATCCTACACATTACCATTATTTTTATATTATTTTTATTTTTATTTAAAAATTACTTGATTTTTTGGGATTCCTATGCACCAATGCACCGGGGCAAATTGCTCGTATGTGTTAACTTACTTGGCAATAAACCCAATTCTGATTTTGATTATAATCACAAAATCTTAAGCTACTAACATCAGTAGAAAAAGAGTAGGCAGTCATTCTACAGACTTGACATGCACAGTATAGTTTTAACGATATTGGTTAGTACCTTATGATGACTTATAGACCACACCCAATATGTTGTAAGGCTAAATAGTCTCATGGAATGTATATTGTCTGGGTGTGTACTCAAGATATAAACTGTAGTATCTCTAAGGAGTATAATCAGGAGGTAGACATAATGACACCCACTCTTAATGAATTTCTACCTTGATGGGGCCTAACTGTTTCTACCAAAATGCTTGTTCAATGTTCTCTGTGTGTGTATGTTAAGAAATTGGGTTTTTAAAAAAAAAAAAATTCTTGTCCCATTGATCATTTGTGATTTATCTTGTGACCTGATCCCTGGCCTAGACAATTTTATCATTACATGATCAAATTACACATGAATGTGTCTTTTTTTTAAAACTGTTTTTGTGTGTGGGTGATGGTTTAGGGGTTAAAGGTTATGTACCTGATAGTTAAATTGCCCAGTAAACATGATGCACACCTTTAATTTCCCTCTGGAGTGCTGTTGAGAAATGTCCATGAGTCAGATAGTCAGATAGTCAGACTAGGCATATTTATTTAGCCAATTTCATCCTAAAAAGTTAGTCTGAGGTCTACTAACCTCTATATCGTAGAATAAATCTGTGAGCTATGTGAATTGCTACTGTCCTTTTATTTGATTCTCACATCTAACCAACCCTCTCATTGATCCTTTATCTTAAGTACTTTGCTCCACTCAGAAATGATTAAACCTCCCAAGATAATACACTGTACTCCCTTCAGCCAGTCACAGTTTTTATTGACATTCCAGTGGCTCAAAGAAACATGTAAACATGCAGTACAACTCTTACGTTTTCCTCTGCATCATGGGATTTCATAGAATTCCCTCTGCCTTTTTGAACATATGTGTGTTTCAAAGACATGCTTTCACTATGGTTGTATTATAGGCATGTGTGGACAGCCCATTTACTCAGCAAGAGCTGTCTTGACAGTCATAGACTTCTTTCCTGTTTGGTATTCAGCTCACAAAACCTTCAGTGCCACTCTAATGAAGCACAGATCCACAGTGGCTTACTTCAGCCCAGCTCTCTCAGGGAGACTGTCTCTGGCTAGTGAAAAGGGGGAGACACCAGGGGAGAATGAGTACCACAGGAAAATTCTTAGCCCCTAATTAGTCATATTGTAAGAATTATTTCGGTGAAAATAAGCCAGAACAATCTGGATTAATATTCTAGGAAAGGGGTGTTCGATTCAAACATTTTACACTATTCACTATATAGAAGTCCACAGAGTGAGAGAGTAAGAGGGCTGTAGTTTACATTATTTAATCTCAGCATCGGAAACACTGCAGTACTCCAACAAATCAACTTCATAGCTAAAAAACGTTTTTCACCTTGCATTCACAGTGAATAAGATAAAGCAGTACAGGAATGAGAAGAGACTGACTGGCCTCTGTTGTTGTCAATAAAAACCTGTAACGTGGTTCCTGTTGAGTTCTAATTACAGCTCTTGTTTTCTGTCATCCAGGGCTGGAAGGTAGTGAGTCATTACAGGTTCTGCAGCTCTCCTTCAATAGGATCTCAACTTTACGACAAGAAGACCTCAGCCACCTTCGGCAGCTAAAAGAGCTACACCTGCAACATAATCTCATCACAAGTCTCCATCCACAGATGTTTCAGGAGTTAGCCCAGCTCCAGGTAACAATGTTTTTTTTAAATCTAATTTATTAAAAAAAATGCACAGACAATTTAGTATTCCAACAATACACTTAGTGATGCCACACATTCTTTATTTATCAGTCATTTTTAGGAAAGGATTGTCTAAAAGAAAGATAATGTAGCTTTTATTTCGGGAATATTTCATTAAATTGTTTTAACAATTAAATTACACATCTCAACATCTGCTGTCTTCCTTAAAAGGTCCTTGATCTGAGCTTCAACATGTTGACCAGTCTCCATCCTTTGATGTACGTTTCTCTGCGTAACATGGGGGTGCATGTTAGACTGGGTGGGAACAGATGGCAGTGTGATTGCAGTATGCGCAGTCTAAGAAGGCGGATGGCCTATGACAGCAGCAGAGGCCTGCAGGCCTGGAGTGTGGTGTGTGATTCCCCTTCCATCCTTTCAGGAAGAGACCTGCTACAGTTGGAGGAGGATGACCTTAACTGTTTTAGTACTGAAAATAAGCCAGAGGTCCACCAAGATGTGACTGTCTATAGTGGCTCTGAGATACTGCTGTCTTGCTCTACACAAGGTAACACAGTCAAAAAAAGTGTAAGATAACTTATACAGAACTATGTAGGTCAATCCAACTGCATGTCAATGTCTTTTTTTTTTTGTAGATTCAATGTGGTGGACGCCCAGTGGTCAAGCATCTGTAAGCCAACCTCAGCCTGGTCTACTCATCAATGACATCACAGAGAGAGACACAGGACTATATGTGTGTCTATCTGAAGAACGTGAAGATTTGTCTGTTTTTAACCTCCAAATCAGTAAAATAGGAGGTGCAAGAAGAAACACTAGAAGTTTACCCAGAACCAGCGAACAAATAATTCCACAAGGCACCCTAAATAAAATAGGTCAAGTAAGGAATCAGACAGCCACACAGTCTGATTTGGCTCTGGCTGTCTGTCTGTCTGTTTTCATCACATTTCTGATAGCGTTTATCCTAGGAGTCCTAGCAAGACCTTGTATAGATGTTCTTTGGAGAAGGGTCACCAACAAGAAAAGCTCCCCTCAAACCAACTCTGTTTCAACAGTAGAACAAAGACAATATGACAATGAGGCCTACTCCAATGGCGAGGAACCAGAAGAGACAGGCACTCATAGGGAAAGGAGAGTCACATTTAGCACTGTAGACTTTATAGAAAACAGCAATGTACAATATTATGATACTGTAGCCAGTGGCGATCAGGAAAGCATTAACAATGATACAGTGATTGAATGTGAAGCAGCTATGGCTGATAAGGATACACATACAGCTGGAGATTCAGGAAGTGAAAACAGCTTACGACAAAGTAGTCCAGTGGAAAACAAGAAAGACTGCAGAAACCTCTCAGGCATCACTGATGCAGGTCGCACACACAACATAGAGTTTGAACACATCCCAGACCCTGTTGAGCTGGAAAAGAGGAGAAGCTTCTCTTCATGCTCGGATTCTTCCCTATCTGAAGTATATGAAGACCAAATGGCAGAGGGAGATCACACAACGCCAAAGTCTCCTCAGCTGGCAGAGGACTCTGTTCAGCAGAGAGCTGATTTGTCACCAGCAAGAAAAGTAGTGGTGCCACAAATTTCTATAGAGGGAAGTGAAATTCCTGGATTTTCTTCTGTGCCCTTTGCAGACTGGTCACCACATACAAAGAGCCCCAACCAAACAGACCCTGATCTGTGGCAGGAGAATGATGAACAATTTGAATTTAGTGATTCTGTTCGGAGCATGTCTCCAAGGTCCAGCAGTGTGTGTGGTTCTTTTAAGGATTCAAAACTGATTGTGGCACCCACTTTAGATAAACAGCAGAGGGATGATATGTCCAGCTCCAGCTCATATGTCAGTGAGGATGAGCCTACAAAATACACTGTGAACTCAGACCAAGAGGAAGAGGAGGATATAGAAAGAAACCACAATAAACCTGTCACTAATGCTTGCCTTAAACAAGATGCTAGTTTTCAACAGCAGAACCATGGTTTAGACCCCATCAGGCCAGTGGGATTTAATCATGATGATTACAGATATAACAAACTAAGGCATGCAGTGAGACCAGATCACTCCTTTTCCTCTCATTCAAGTGACAGTGATGGGGAGGACTACACAGTCAAACAAGAAACAGATACAGGAGCGGGCAAAGACCGTCTGCCAAATTTGGGTGTTACAAATCACAGTAAGAGTCTGGATACCAGAGCACCTTCACCACCTGTAGCTTATTCATCATCTTCAAGCAGTGAAAGTGAAGGAGAAATCATAGACCTAAAAGTGGAACACAATACAGGCAGAGGGACTAAGGGGATCAAAACCAATGAGTCAGAAACACTGTTGGCAGACCTAAATCGCCAAAGCATCCCCCAAATCAACAGGCGTCTGGATATCAAAGCACCATCACCTGACTCTGATTCATCTACTAGTAGTGACAGTGAGGATGAAACAACAGGCCACATTGAAAAGCAGAGCCCAGGCAAGGTTGACATTGCAGGTGTTCCATTTCAAGAATATAAGAGTCATGATCTAGACACACAATGGCCTACCCTTGATCTTCAGCGTACTACACGCGTCAAGAGGCATCTGGATATCAAAGCACCATCACCAGCTTCTGATTCATCTTCTAGTAGTGACAGTGAGGATGAAACAATAAACCCCATTAAGAAACAAGAGCAAGGGGAGACATACATGGCAAGGCATCCAATTAAAGTATCTCAAACTGTTAGTCATGACCCACAAACACAGTGGCCTGTCCTAGATCTTGAGCATACCACACGCATCAAGAAGCGTCTGGATATCAAAGCACCATCACCTGACTCAGATTCATCTTCTAGTAGTGACAGTGAAGATGAAACAACAGGGCACATAGAGAAGCAGAGCCCAGGCAAGGTGGACATTGCAAAAGTTCAGTTTCAAGAAGCTCAAACTGAACGTCATGATCCAGACACACAGTGGCCTACCCTTGATCTTCAGCGTACTAAACGAGTCAAGAAGCGCCTGGATATCAAACCACTATCACAGGCTTCTGATTCATCTTCTAGTAGTGACAGTGAAGATGAAACAACAGGGCACATAGAGAAGCAGAGCCCGGGCAAGGTGGACATTGCAAAAGTTCAGTTTCAAGAAGCTCAAACTACAAGTCATGATCAAGACACACAGTGGCCTACCCTTGATCTTCAGCGTACTACACGCGTCAAGAGGCGTCTGGATATCAAAGCACCATCACCTGACTCTGATTCATCTTCTAGTAGTGACAGTGAGGATGAAACAATAAACCCCATTAAGAAACAAGAGCAAGGGGAAACATACATGGCAAGGCATCCAATTAAAGTATCTCAAACTGTAAGTCATGACCCACAAACACAGTGGCCTGTCCTAGATCTTGAGCATACCACACGCATCAAGAAGCATCTGGATATCAAAGCACCATCACCTGATTCAGATTCATCTTCTAGTAGTGACAGTGAGGATAAAACAACAGGCCCAGGCAAGAAACAGAGCCCAGACAAGGTGGACATTGCAGGTGTTCCATTTCAAGAATCTCAAACTGAACATCATGATCCAGACACACAGTGGCCTACCCTTGATCTTCAGCATACTACACGTGTCAAGAAGCGTCTGGATATCAAAGCACCATCACTGGCTTCTGATTCATCTTCAAGTAGTGACAGTGAAGATGAAACAATGAACCCCATGAAGAAACAAGAGCAAGGGGAGACATACATGGCAAGGCATCCAATTAAAGTATCTCAAACTGTTAGTCATGACACACAAGCACAGTGGCCTGTCCTAGATCTTGAGCATACCACACGCATCAAGAAGCGTCTGGATATCAAAGCACCATCACCTGACTCTGATTCATCTTCTAGTAGTTACAGTGAGGATGAAACACCAGGCCACATAGAGAAGCAGAGCCCAGGCAAGGTGGACATTGCAAAAGTTCAATTTCAAGAATCTCAAACTACAAGTCATGATCCAGACACACAGTGGCCTATCCTTGATCTTCAACGTACTCCACGCATCAAGAGGCGTCTGGATATCAAAGCACCATCACCGCCTTCTGATTCATCTTCTAGTAGTGACAGTGAGGATGAAACACTAGGCCACATAGAGAAGCCGAGCCCAGTCAAGGTGGACATTGCAAAAGTTCAATTTCAAGAATCTCAAACTACAAGTCATGATCCAGACACACAGTGGCCTATCCTTGATCTTCAACGTACTCCACGCGTCAAAAGGCGTCTGGATATCAAAGCACCATCACTGGCTTCTGATTCATCTTCTAGTAGTGACAGTGAGGATGAAACAACAGGCCCAGGCAAGAAACAGAGCCCAGTCAAGGTGGACATTGCAGGAGTTCAATTTCAAGAATCTCAAACTAAAAGTCATGATCGAGACACACAGTGGCCTACCCTTGATCTTCAGCAGACCACACGCATCAAGAGGCGTCTGGATATCAAAGCACCATTACCTGACTCAGATTCATCTTCTAGTAGTGACAGTGAGGATGAAACAACAGGCCCAGGCAAGAAACAGAGTCCAGACAAGGTGGACATTGCAGGTGTTCCATTTCAAGAATCTCAAACTGAACGTCATGATCCAGACACACAGTGGCCTACCCTTGATCTTCAGCATACTACACGTGTCAAGAAGCGTCTGGATATCAAAGCACCATCACTGGCTTCTGATTCATCTTCAAGTAGTGACAGTGAAGATGAAACAATAAACCCCATGAAGAAACAAGAGCAAGGGGAGACATACATGGCAAGGCATCCAATTAAAGTATCTCAAACTGTTAGTCATGACACACAAGCACAGTGGCCTGTCCTAGATCTTGAGCATACCACACGCATCAAGAAGCGTCTGGATATCAAAGCACCATCACCTGACTCTGATTCATCTTCTAGTAGTTACAGTGAGGATGAAACACCAGGCCACATAGAGAAGCAGAGCCCAGGCAAGGTGGACATTGCAAAAGTTCAATTTCAAGAATCTCAAACTACAAGTCATGATCCAGACACACAGTGGCCTATCCTTGATCTTCAACGTACTCCACGCATCAAGAGGCGTCTGGATATCAAAGCACCATCCCCGCCTTCTGATTCATCTTCTAGTAGTGACAGTGAGGACGAAACACCAGGCCACATAGAGAAGCCGAGCCCAGTCAAGGTGGACATTGCAAAAGTTCAATTTCAAGAATCTCAAACTACAAGTCATGATCCAGACACACAGTGGCCTATCCTTGATCTTCAACGTACTCCACGCGTCAAAAGGCGTCTGGATATCAAAGCACCATCACTGGCTTCTGATTCATCTTCTAGTAGTGACAGTGAGGATGAAACACCAGGCCACATAGAGAAGCAGAGCCCAGCCAAGGTGGACATTGCAGGAGTTCAATTTCAAGAATCTCAAACTAAAAGTCATGATCGAGACACACAGTGGCCTAACCTTGATCTTCAGCATACCACACGCATCAAGAGGCGTCTGGATATCAAAGCACCATCACCGGCTTCTGATTCATCTTCTAGTAGTGACAGTGAGGATGAAACACCAGGCCACATAGAGAAGCAGAGCCCAGGCAAGGTGGACATTGTAAGAGTTCAATTTCAGGAATCTCAAACTACAAGTCACGATCCAGACACACAGTGGCCTACCCTTGATCTTCAGCGTACTAACCGCATCAAGAAGCGTCTGGATATCAAAGCACCATCACCTGACTCTGATTCATCTTCTAGTTGTGACAGTGAAGATGAAACAACAGGCCACATAGAGAAGCAGAGCCCAGTCAAGGTGGACATTGCAGGAGTTACATTTCAAGAATCTCAAACTGAATGTTATGATCCAGACACACAGTGGCCTACCCTTGATCTTCAGCAAACCACACGCATCAAGAGGCGTCTGGATATCCAAGCACCATCACCGGCTTCTGATTCATCTTCTAGTAGTGACAGTGAGGACGAAACAACACACCACATAAAGAAGGAGAGGCCAAAGACAGTGGGAATAGCAAAGCGTCCATTTCAGAACAAAACAGTAAGTGATAATCTAGAAACACAGTGGCCTGTTGTAGATCTTGGTAATATTACTTGCATCAAGAGACGTTTGGACATCAAAGCCCCATCACCACCCCCTGATTCATTATTAAGTGGTGGGAGTACAAAAACTACAGTGGAAGGAAAGAAAGAGAAAGCTATCAAAATTAGTTCCACTTATTTATCAAGCAGCTCAGATGAGCAAGAGAAAGGTATAGAAGATTTAAATAACCACCCGACAACAGTGGAACCACATTCAGATTCAAGATGGCCTCAATTGGGTCTTAGCAGTGCCCCCCATTTGAAAAGACGCCTGAATATCAGGGCACCTTCACCTTCACATGAGTCATCTTCCAGTAGTAATGAGAGTGAAACTACAGACCTACCTGTGAAAGTGGAGAGGGACAGAACTGATGTGGGGATTACAAGTCATCCACCAGGTACAAAATTGCCTGACTTGAATATGAGTATCCCCCTCATTAAGAGACGTTTTGATATCAAAGCACCGCAATCTGAATCAACCTCTTCCAGAAGCGATAGTGAGGATGAGAACACAGACCATGCTACAGTAGGATTGGGAGCATATGCCATATCAAAGGCCACGGAAAAGGAGTTCATTAGATCTCCAAAGATCCCAAAGATCATCCATACTTCTCGCAGTCCAAAGACAGACCAAAATATCAAATTAGAAAAGTATACAGTTATTACAGATGATATGGGGAACAAAACAAGAACTGACAACTTCAACACAAAACCAGAGATAAATCCAGAACTTGAGTCACGATGGGCCACAATGAATCTTGGTATCTCCCGCTTCAGAAAGCGTCTTGAAATCACATTGCATACACATGAACCACAAAACCTGCCCTCATCGCCTCCACCTGACTCCCCTTCCTCTTCCAGCAGTGAAAATGGGACTGGGAGTAAAAGCAGTCAAACAAGACAAAAGAGAAGGGGAGTTGGGAGGCAAGGAGAAATGGCACCTGGTAAACCACCATTACAGCAACTGCCCGATTCCTCCTCCAGCAGTGATAACAAGGATGAATCAACAGACCATGCAGTTAAAGAATGGGTAAAATCTCCGCTGCCTGTTACTGACAAAGACACATCCCAGATTCCCACCTCCGTCTATGTGGCCCAAGCTGTCAATAACAAACTGGATCAATCACAGTACCAAACTGAGGTGAAGAGGAAAGCCAGGGTAGTGATCAAAAGCCATACATCAAAAGACGAAGACAAGTCCGACTCAGTGCAGCCTCATTTGAATCTCTACAATATTCCTCATGTCAGGAGGGCTTTGGATATAAGAGCACCATTACTTAGGGATGCATCCTCCAGCAGCAACAGTGAGAATGAGATGATAGAGAACAGTGTTCCTGACCTGAGTCTTGGTGTCCCACACATTAAGAGGCGTATGAATGTCAAGGCACCATTACCAGGGCCAAGTAATTCCCCATCTTCCTGCAGCGAAAACGAGAATGAGGTGACAGGATACACTGGAAAACAAAGCAGACATGCATCAGATATGTCAGGAATAACAGATGATGACTCTCTAATCAGTTACAAGCGCTTAATTTTCAAAGATTCATCACCGCTGAGTAACTTGCACAGTGGCCAAACTTTAGACCACACACATCAAAGACATACAGGAGCTAAAATGGTAACTGTTGTACAAGAAGGTCCATCCCCTACTGTGGGAGGCACAAATGCATCTCTTGCCCCAAAGAGAGTTTCCAGTATGAGCTTTGATGATATAGTAAAGAGAAGGATCGAGCAGTCCAGACACACCGCAGACCTGCTACCTGAGATAAGGTGGAGTGGCGTCGGTCGTCAGCAGTCTGACCTTTCTATTTCCAGTCCGAGGAGACACCTGGATGTAGGCTTATCGACACCACAGCAGGCTCAACCTGCAGAGCCAGAACTTCCCCCTCTTGACTCCCTCAACTACTCCAGTAGTAAAACTGATGATAAAATAAAACAAGACAGAGAGAAAGCAGATGGGACATTGACGCATAAATACACATCTCTTAGTTCCAGTAGTGTTTCTCTTGCATCCAGTAGAGGTCTTAACAAGTTTGACAACTCACCCAGCAGCACAAATGAGATTTTAAGGGCTGTACCTGAGGACAGGAGGGACAGGAAAGGCCTCAGTGCCATAAAAGCCATTTCATTGGAGAGACAAAAGTGGGACATACAAGCTGAAAATTTAGATAAGGGTGCATCTCCTCTTTTTGATGACCACAATCAAAAAGTTGACACATTTTTTAACTATCAAACATCAGAGGAGGAAATCAAACCCATGACTAAACAGCCACTGACACAATTACATTTTTCCTCTTCTTTAGGAGACAAGATAAGAGCTACAGATTTGTTGTATGGTATTCCCTGCTACAGGAGGCATGACTTTGGAGGTAATGAACCACCACGTGAGGCTCCACCTCCTATTCCAGCCACACCACCACCAGACGAGGCAATAGGTCTTACATGGAGGTCTCCACAGAGCAGTAAGAAACAAGGGTCGGAAGGCACCAGATCCTATCTGCAACAAAGCAGTCAGACAGAGGTTTCTGACCCTTCTTCAGTTACATCACAAAATCTGCCAGTCTATTTTGACTCCTCAAACATTAACATTAGTCATGTCTAAGAAGCCACTGCATCCTTAACACAAAAACAAAAGTGTCTTGATCTTAAATTGGCCAGTGAATTACACAAATATTGTGAATGATGTTCTATTTTACATGTATTAAGCTGAAAATGAAATGTAAATACTAATAATTTATTGTGTGGAACTATTGTACAGTGCAGCAGACACCATGTTTATCTTTCAGATTTGCCTTATTTCCCTAAATCACTTTTTTAAAATCATCCATCACAGAAATGTATTCCTGTAATAAATTTTGCAACAAGAATCCATATCATCTTTGTGATCATTCATTATTAATACACTTATTAAGAGACCTTTATAAAACCATATCTCTGAAAATATATGGCAGTTTTCATTTGTAGCAAAGTATATGTAGGTAATGACCTCAACGGTATTACTGATCATACTTAGTAAAAATTTGTTATGGACAAACTGTTAACTTAAGAACCCAATTATAAGCCAGTAAGTTAATAAACCCTTTTATTTATGTATATAGACATAGGTTATAGTGAAAACAGACATATAGACACTTACATAGTTTACATACATATATACAGTTGGGACAAGGGTGTTCAGCCTCCTGCATTGTCATGGGAGAATACTAAAAACACTGGTCTCTACACAGTATTTGGTAAGCAATCCAACAACTACTTCAATCTTAGATGTTATGCTGATGGGTTGAAGCATTGTAATGACCATAGAGTCTTTCCATGTAGTTCAGCTGCAGTGGATTTCAATGATGCCAGGGCTGATGTATGTCATCTTCACAACAAATGTGTATTTTATGTGTATCATGACAGTGTGGTGTAAAAGTAGCAAAACAAGTTATGCACTTCCAATAAATAAAATCTGTATGTGTATGATGTGGTAAATGCAGGAGGGAACTCCTGTTCCACCGTGAGGTTACAGGTGTGTTCCAGGTCTTAATAGACACAATCATGTTGTTCATCAGATTTAAGATAACATGATCATGAATATCAAATTAAGCACAAAACACTTGCACAAATTCCTGTACAAAACAAAAAAACGCGTTTGGAAAAATGTTTTCAAAAAATCTCATCCATTCACAAAAGGCTCTGTTGGAGCATGCATGCAAATATTAAATCTGACGTTTCAGCATCACACCACAGCCAAAGACAAAAATGTATACATGTGTTACAAGAACATTATACTAGGCAAAAATAACAGCATAGCATCATCACACAGTTCCAAACTGTCAGTGTCCATTGATTTGATTAGATCCTACGGGTGGCACAAAGCAATGCTTTCAGCAAACCTACCTTTCTACTCAAGCCTTAAGGACCTCGTCCTGAGAGGGTCACTGGTCTTCCACTGTAGTTATATTAACACTGTCAGTGTTGGGAGAGATGCTACTAGTAAGAGGAGACCTGAAACTATCAGTGGACTAAGGAGGACAAAACAGATGCCACATATCAAGACAAAATGGACACCAACTACTGTAGCTCTATGTCAACTTATAACACAGCCCAAACAGTCTGAATTCATCCTGAAATAATCCCTGACCACTCAGTGTGTCTGTGTGTGCATGAATGTGTGTGTGTGTGTGTGTGTGTGTGTGTGTGTTCTCTCACTTGTGTATATACATTTGGGTTTGTTGGTATGTGTGTGGGACACACAAAGTGACTTCCATGTTTTGAGGCACAGTAATACTCTTACCTACACAACGTAGATACATAAATTGGTCATCAGACCAATAAATGCTGATCAGAGCACTAGTGGCTCACCGCCGTACTGTAATAAGAGTTAGTAAGCAGCAATGCTGATTTGTTTGGTGTTATGAGGTCTGAAGCCTTTGCGGGGGTTAGCAAACTGTTAGCATTAGCTGGAGCAAAACAGCAGGAGGGGGAAAAAAAATGGAGGGAAAAAAAAATTCACTGGCACAAATCAATAGTAAACAACACAGGTATCAGAAACCTGCGATCAACCATTTGACACAGTGTGCTTCTTGAAGAATTCCTACGTAACTCAAAACATGACAAACAATAGTTAGTGCCATCTGTCCAGAAAAGCTCAAGTTCAAGTTCATTGCACAGATATAATATTTAAATGTGCCCAGGTCAAAGTGACCCTGTTTAAGACTCAGACACAATGCATGAATGGTCACTTCTGTTGGTTTCTCTGTGCTGAAGACGAGGGGTGGGGTGTGGTCCTCCCACACAAAACCATTTTGCTTCCATCATCCACGTATGATACCATGTTATCCTAACACAGACAGCAATATGACATGTCACAGTGAGAGAGAGCAATGCCACTGGGGATTGCTGCAAGCTTGCCCACTATGCAACTTCGGTAGGGAACTTAACTCCACAATGGCAGCACTCCGCGCTCTGGGCAGCATGCACCCAGGCTGCAAACCCAGTGCCCCCACCCTAGCCCACCCACAGCCCGAACCCCTCCTCTACCAGGAAGCACCCACTGTCACTGCTTTATCATTTTTGTATTGTTTACTTATTGGTTGTTGATTCTCAAAGTCGTTGTTGTCACAGTTGTGTTTTTTTTCCATTTTGCTCTGCACCTATGACATCTGTCTTTCCTTGTACCATTCCACAAACTCGTCCAACAAAACTGGCCCTGATAGAAGGATGAGACAGAGGATAATAGATTAGATTTGTGTAACACTAGCACGAAGCTCTGTCGTCACATTTATGTGTAGATGTGTGTTCACTTACAGGCACCGTCCTCATCGTAGTTACTGAGGTCCAGGTTGATTGTCCTGCTGAACTCTAAAACATTGCACCATTGGTCTTTGTTGATGACTTTGTACTTGGATTGCTGAGGAATAGTAAATAAATGCCGTACGTTAATACAGCACATAAACCCTATTTTATTTGTTCAAATGTGGGAAGGGAAATTTGTGAACATGATGCTTACCTCTAAAAACTGATTAAACACAGGAAACAGAGGCCACGTCTTTCCCAGAAGAAGCCCCAGCATACACTTAGCTGTGTTCAAGTCCAAACTCCTCTGATCCTTTTCCTGTCCAATCAAAACCCCCAAAGCTTCATGATATCAAAATGTCAACCACACTAAACACAGGGGCAGTCTAATAACATCATTATCATTAACATTAGCCTAATTCAGGAAACAGTCTCAATTCCATAACCCACTGCTGTTACAGTTAATAAAATAAAACACTGTTATCACAGTCACTGCACCATGTTTTCATTCACTGTATCAGACTGGGTGGATTCCTTAAATCATGGTTCAATGTCCACATGAGAGAAAAGTCAGGCTGTGTAAATAGGCAACACACTTGATATGTGTGTGTCTAAGTCAAACTGGAAAATTATCTTGACCTTCTGAAAACACCAAGATGAGGTCTGAACATTGGCTTGAATAAGACCTTACAAGAATTTCAATCAGGGACATTTAGCAAACAACTATTTCCTACAGGGATTTTACCATTTAAATCGACTAAATTAAATTTGGAACACTGCGCATCTTTGCAGAAAAGACTTGGCTTGACTCACCCGAGCAAAATCAAAGGCATATCTATAAATGAGCTTAAAACTGGTGCTGTCATTTAGGACAGATCTCAGGTAGTCGAGTGAGTTCCTCAGCCTCTCTGTGGAGTCGCACCTGACAACATCAGAAAAGTGCTTTAGACATACTCTACACTTCAATACCTGCTTTACAGAGTACCAAGGGCACTCTAGAAACACATGGCTAAAGACAGAGAAAATACAGCAGTCTTGAAAACAGGGTGAAAAAAGACAAAAAAGTAGATAACTGACGTACTGCAGTGAGCCCATGCCTCTCAGCCACTCCTGGAGAGTGAAATATCCCATACTCTGGGCATCCAGCTTCCATGCCAGAACCAGCATCACCACCTGGGCACAAACAACAATCCTTATAGCTACAGATTAAATAGTGCTTAAATGGAAGATGATGTGTCAAGCCATATCATCAATCTGTCAACTGAAATGACATGCCAATAACATGTCTTAAAAAGAAAACATCTGAACTCAATAACCCTTGAAACAGAGAATGAGTGTAAATAAAAGTGAGTAAAACGTGAACTTGAAGTAAAGCTAGGACTGGACATTTTTTGTGAATAACTACTTTTATTATGCCAATTCTTCATTTTTATAAAACATCAAAAATGTTCTGTTTTGTTTGTGTTCATTAATGTTTATATGTTGGCATTGTTGCCACCTGCTGTCATTCTATACTCTTTTCACTCATTTATCTTTAATAACAGCACTACACTTTTGTTATACCCTGCAATGCTCAATAAAAAGATTTTGATTTAAAAAGTTCAAAAATGAAGAGAAATACCCCATTATGTGTTACCACGGCCTAAAGGGTGTCAAAATGACTTGCTTAGTTTGACTGGCAGCAAGAGAGAGAAAACGGTGACGTGTGAGTAAATTGACAACATAGAGATGTAACCGCACTGCAAGACTTAAATCTAAATAACCAAAATACAAAAACAGAACCACTTACGTTCTCTGGCTCCACTCCGATGTCCTCACAGAACTTCTCCATGCCCTCTGGACCCACCACATCGTCACAACCTATTTTAGACAGACAAGTGTGAAGCCACATGCAGCATCAATTGCACATGCGGAGCCAAAAAACTACGTCGCTGATCAGTGGTTCAATGTGAATAAACCCAGGAATGTGTGATGATTTGAGGGGAGCGATTGCTGGTGCAGTGCTTTAAAATAAGATACCTCACCTGCATACTCATAGAACCATTCCAAGCATCTTTTACTTGAGAATGTCTCCTCCTCACGGATTTGTGACGTTTCATGTTTTCTGAAAACACTGCAGATGAAAAGAAAGTTTTAGCTCAGCAGCAACGCCACAAGTGCAGTACAGAAGTAGTCAGTGTGATTTAACAAGGCTTTTCCTATTATAATGGCAAAATAAAGACTTTATGCACACATTCCTCTTTAATAAGCCACTATAATCAAGTGCCCCTGTATAACGGAGACAGATATTCAGTTATAGGCATGCTACTGAAGTGGATATATGTATTTTTTAAATCTTCAATAAAAAAGGGACCTCACACCTGTCCTGGCGACTTTTCTTGGCTGACATGTCATCTCCAGCAGAGGGTCTCCTCTTTTTCCTAGGAGGCATGGCTCTAGAGCAACAAGCTAGGGGACGGAAGTGGAAAAACATGCAAGTACCCTCAAAGAACCAGCAGTCCAATTCAGAAGGACATACCGTCTTGGCAGTAGTTTAATGGATGATTGTCAGTGTTTACCGCTGACCATGAGACACACAACCAGTTGAATTATTACCTGAGGGGTGGCTATCCTGTCCAACGTCTTCTGTCAGGTTCTAACAAAACAGATATAAAAAATAAAAAAATACCACACACTTGTGAGCAGGACACACACATACACAGTGCACACACACGTAAAAATATGCAAGCTGTCAATATGTATTTACCAGCCTGTGCAAGGTGTGGTGGATCTTATGGATGCTGGCCAGTGTAGTCAAGTGGGAATTCAGCTGAAAATCTATTCCCACAAAAGATAAAGATAACATCACAAATTCAATCTAAAGCATAACACACAACCTCCTGCTCCCAATCAAACGTACAAACCACCAAGCGTGTACGTACAAGGGTACAAGAAGGTGACATCATCATAGCACCAACAAGAACCTATCATTTTAGTTTTTGGCAGTGATCAGTATATGCTCTACAGTGCTCAAATTACCTTCGTCTAATTTCTACACCACGGGTTTCAGAAAACGACAGAAAAATATCTCCCACGAATGAGGGAGTGACTCTCTGCATTCCTCGAAAGACATACAAAACTCGAAAATATCGGATCACGCATGCTACCTTGTCGCCAAATGTCATCTACACATTCCCGTTGAAAAGCTGTCATCAAATGTTATTTCTAGAGGCCAAAACCAAGCAAAAAAACACACAGGCGAACAGATAGCACTAGCTGCATACCTAAAATAGCAGTGCAGACGCGCAACTTGCACAGAGTTTACAAAGTATCTAGAGAGTTGGGCGTATGGGCGTTGTAGTCCATTTCCTTCAAAGAGGCCATTGAAACCTTAAGCTCTGGCTGGGCTACTAAACTACAATTCCCAAGCCTTAGCTAAACAACTACTTCTTCTTTCAGACCCCTCTGCCCCCCAACACTTACCCCAACTGATTGAATGCATTTTAGATTGTTTTAAAAAAACTCTCATCATATGCTCATGGGCACATAAGCATTGCGCAGACGTTTTGCAGCAGCTGCTATAGGTGCCGCAAAGCCGGACAGTGCTGCTGCAGCAGGCACTGAAAGATGTTTTACACAACTGCGTCACAATTTTCATTCTCTGTAATAGTCCGCAGTTGACCAGAAAATTGACCTATTTACAATGGCCTTACATTGATCCCAAGTTTGAGTTGAAACGCACAGTGCATCCTCATTAATGATAGATATAAAGATCACAACGCACCGATTACCATCGAAAACCCTGAATTTAACTAACGTCGGCTGCATTCAACTGAGCGCTGCTAACGCTACACAAAAAAATAACTTCAGGAAAACTGCCGGATGAAATGTAACCTCATGCATGTCCAAAACAACTGGAATTACACTAGCTATCCTCCCTTTGTTGTCGCCCAAGACAGCACTAGCAAATACAAAGAGACCAGCAAATATCACGGAATTCATTCGTTCTCATCAAAGCACACAGGACCACGGGCTGGAAGTAGATGTAGAAACACAAAGCGTTTGTCTGCTTCTCTACGATAAACTCTGCTGCATCCAGGAAGGGTCGTAATTTCATGTAGAAAAGCCTCTATAACGTTTCTACTTACTTGCCGCATCAGAGTGCATTTTTATGAAACATACAACTGTCTGTGGGAAGTCCGCAGACCGGCCAATAGGCGGGCCTTGTCAACGTAAACCACGCCCACGCACGGTGATTGGAGCAGAGCCTGGTTGGTCTCCGCCTACTTTCGCTGTCGATTGGCTATTCAAGGTGTCAAGTCACGGGAAGGCGGATAACGAAATAGACCCCTCCCATGCACAAATGTCATTGGTCACAGTTCCCAAACAGGCTGCGCTATCTCTGTCATTCATTGGTCAAGAGATTTTTATGAGCACGTCAATCACCAGAATTTCCTCGTGCAAGCCTGAAACCAGCCCACGATGGAATCTGATTGGTCCATTCAGTCACAAGTTGACCTCCCACTGTAACCGCTGTTTAGACTTCGTTGCGTTCACTGTCAACTCCGCCGGGCGGAGGTTGGTGGCCGTATGTTTGGCAATGCGAGTTAACTATGTTTCATTACATGATGGTACTGGGACACCGTACCAAAACAGCGCTTACCTTCTCTGTCCTCCGTTGTTACAAGTCGGCAGAAGTCTGCGGTGTGAGCAGAGGTCCTGTCCCAAAGAATGCGTCAGTTACTGCAGCTTAGCAACCGTGAGAACTGCTGGTCAGGTGACTGAAAATCCTAGTTAGTAATCAAAACGAACGGATACACTCAAAGGCAGCTAACGTTACGTTGTTGGCCCTCAATTTGTTTTTTAATATCAGTTACATTAATATGAATTATACGACTCCGTATAACTGGTCAAACAGTAAACTTGTAAACTCTACTGAATATGTGAGAGAAGCTAACACAAGTTGACCAGTCAAGACCAGACCAGTCCACTGACTGAACTGCCACCATTTTTAGTAAATTCATAAAAGCTTCACGGTGGAGGGCAAACAGTAGCCTGCTGGGCTGACCCACTGTGAGAGACCACTGTACGTGTTGTCTGCCTGCAGAAATACAGCTACTGTTTGCTTTTGTTGTGAAAATACTGGTAGCAGCAATTCACAGCAGTGGGATGTATTCTACTTCTTGTTTAACATTATACTTGTTGCTCGAGCTGCAAGGCAAAACATACGTTTTACTTCCTCATCTTGATAAATATAATGCTTTTTTTTTTTTTAAATTAAACTTTGCAGTATGTAAAATAGTTTACATTAGCTCCAAATCGACCAGCTACCACATGTTGCTTATACATTCATGCATAAAATGTTACTTTGTACATTTAGCTGATAATACCTCTGTACTCTAAGTAAACTTTTTAATGCTAAACATTTACTTTTTACTTTCTGATCAGAATCCTTCTTCCACCTGTGGTAATTTATTTATTTTCAACTTTAGGATGTTTTTTTTTAATTACCTTTATTTATGTGCAGTGACTGGCTTTTGTTTGAAATGATCTATTCTAACAATTTTAAATTCAAGAAAAATCTTAGTTCTAGTAGTTATACTACTTCAAAGAAGCTGCCTTTTGAGCTTGAATTAATAGTCAGTAGGGAAATTAATAAGGGAATTTCTGCATTGTGAAACAAGAGCTCAATTCTCACATTATCATGCTGAAATGTCTTTGAGCAAGACATTGGATCGATGCCAGTGTTAGGGAAGCTGTGGCTCTAATATCACTGCATCAACTTATCAGTGGTAGTAACCAATAATTTAACGTCTAGTAATAACCAACCAGTCCCTGACCTTTGGTTAGTAGGAGTATGCGTCTAATGAAGTAATATATTTCAGTACTCTTCTCTCCTCTGCTGAATAAACCAGACTATAAAGATACATGACTTGTGTGTTGTACATTATATATTTATAAGACCTGCCCAAACCATGCAAACTAGGTTATTGTGAACAAATTCTACCAGATAGACCAATTGCTTCTATAAAACATGACTATAATGTTAGGAGTTTCCAACGGATAGACCTACAATTTGACCAACATTCTCATTTTTCACATGTAAATGGGCAAAAATATTTGTCCCTTAACCCACACCCGTTTCTGTTAAGCCATAGCATAAAAGAAACAACAACTACTCCAAATAAAGGTGTGCCATGGAGGTGCAGATCAGTGTACAGAGGTGAGTCCAAACTGCCTCTCATTTCATGTGACAAATGGAAAGCATTTGTATGACACAGTTCTTTTAAAATATATTGTACTATAAATATAATATACCATTTTATTTTTATGCCCAAGTCTATAGCTTAAGAGTTGTTTTTTACCCAGTGCTTTATTTGTTTTCTTTTGGACAGATTTTAACAGAGGGGCCCTTTTTTTCTAAGGGGGTGGAGTTATAAACATAGCCCAGGGAGGAGCAATTACAACCAGAGACATATCAGGCACTGAGAGAGGGAAGTATATATTCTTCAGAAAGTTCGGGACTAAGGTATATAGCTGGAATCCTCCATCATGAGTTCTGAAACAACTGGACAGACTATAGTAGTAAAGACAGAGGAAGCAGCTGCTGCTCCTGCTCCAGCTGCAGTGAAAGGGGAGTGGAAGGTGAGAGGCAACAAGTAATGTAAACTGGATGATGTGGGCCGCCAAAGTGCAGATATGATACTTAACCTGTCCTGTGTGTCCTTCAGTGCCCCCTGGGTGATCGTCACATCCACAGAGATGACCTGAGAAAGGTTTGGAAAGAGTGCCATGAGGAGAGCTTCTGGTACAGAGGTACTGGCTGCTAGGCATCCAACAGACACAAATGTACTTCTTACTAATTTTATCATTGTAGAAAACAGACAAAGCCAACAAATCAGTGAAATGACTCGTGGTGTGAGACCACTCTAAAGGGCTGGTTTGGGTAGATTCTTACTTGTGTATTGCACAAGTCTTTTGTAGTAAAGGCAGTGGGGCAGGGCTCATCCATCAACGCCTTGTTCACTGAAGGCCGTGTGTTTACATTCTTCTTTGTGTAATCCTTTCTGACCTCAAAAAACACCCTCATATGTGGACACAGTCATATGAGAGAGTTTAATTGTTACTGCCATGTTATAATCACACCACTATCTTATTCACGCTTACAGTTAGTTACTTTTTGGTGAATTATTATTTTATTTATGACTGCGTTCTTGTTTGAAGGTAAAAAATGATCTGCTCCAACAGGTATAACTAATGAGAGATTTGAACGATATGTCAGTTATGCACACCCACACAGCTCTAATGCCACTCTCAGAGCAGAATTGCTATAGCTAGGTAAATGTTACTGAAACGCCGAGGTGAACAGCACACAAGACAGAAAATATTGTGGTCACGGTTGAAAGCTGCTGCATTTAGCTTGGCTGACTAGCTACAATCAAGATGCTGCAAACTGAAAATTATCCTCGTTTCATGTGTCACCACTTTATTGTCTTTAACCTCTATCCCTGTCCTTCCACACACTGTCAGCCATGCAGCTGCTGCTTGACCATGTGGTTATATAATCATGAAACGGCAACAATCAGTACTTCCTGATTTAGAAGTTAGTCCCGTCCTTTCTCTCAAATTAGGCAGAACAATCGTTGAGTCTTACTATTGCACAGGACAAAGTTCAGTAAGATCAAAGGCAAGGCATCCATGTCAGGAAGTGATTGAGTCGTGCCCATGGAGAGTGTTTAATCAGTCAAAAAAAAAAAATCACCTTTGTGCGTCTGCCATTAGGTTTGCAGGGAAAGTGCATTATGTAATAATTGAAACTTGATTCTGATTCTTCTACAGTACGTCTCCATATATTTCTTAATATATGGCATTGATCAGACCATTGTCTTACTCGACCTTGTGTTATTTCTTCATTTAGCTCTTCCGTTCTCCCTGGGTAGCATGGCTGTCACTGGTGGTCTCATCTACAATGGTAAAGCACTGACATTCAAACCCTCTTCTTCCATCATGACACATGTGCAGCAGTCATTTTTGTAATCATGGTATTTGGTTTAAAGTTGAGTCCATTTCCATGCAGGCATCTGGAAATCATCAAAGCGATTTGGTCCCTTTCCAAAACTAGCAGGTAAGTACCTCACAGCCATCTAGTTATCTAGTTCCATTATATTAGAGAGAAGGCAGACATCTCTGTGGCTAATATTTCTAAAACTCTGCAACTCACACCTAAACGATCTAGATGGATAAGAAGCACAGGAAACAGGAAAAAATATTTTGGATTTTGGGGTAAACTGTCCCTCTATGTAGCAACTCTCTTAACAATCTCTCAGTTATCACTGGTCCCTAACTGTGACGTTTTTTTTCTTCAGTTGCCGGGATCCTTGGTTTTGCAGTGGGGAAAGCATCTTATGCCAGAACTTGTAAAAGCAAGTTTAAGGAGCTTGGCCTTGGGGATGGACCAGGATTTGGACCCTGGTCTGAAGGAGGTCGCTTTGGACCTTTTAAGAACTCTGGTCATGGACACAGGTGGGGAACACATAAAATTCAAATCTTTCACGGTCTTGTTTTAATTAGGATTAAAGATTCTTATTATCATTTTGTCGTGGCAGAGGCTTATCTTCCAGACATGACGCTGTGTGAAGTAATAACAGTTTCTAATGTGCACAGATGTTAGGAGCAGTGACGATAATCTGAAAAAGATATGACTTTAGAATAACATTCTTAGTAAAGCTTTCCTTTTTAGTGACATTTGACAAGATAAATGGCCTTCAAATAAAACCAAAAACTCTACTAATTATTCCTTACTGTACCTCTGCTGACCACCAGTATTACACCAGCCATACAGTGGTATAATCTGTCATCTTTGTGCTGCAACACTTCTGTTGATTAAATTATTATTATTAAATTATACTATAAATAATGATACATTTCTGCCTCTACAAGTCACTGACCAGAATGTTACCCAAACAGATCCTGCCACCATGTGTGTGAAGAATGCCAGAAAAAAGCTCAAGCTGCACCTGCAGAAGAAGTGAAAAGCTAGACGTAAATGGATCTTATGTTGACAGAGCTATTAGAAACATATATAGTGCCAAACTCTGAAGATATTACTGCACAGTAGGCTACTCACAAACATCACAAATACCAAATCATAAATGAAATATTGCAGTCTGTAAGTATTTTGGTGTTTGCGCCTTTTTCCAGTGAATAGCTTTGTATAAAAACATACTCATGTCAAAATAACCTGAATTCACTCTTTATGTATTCCATTTTATATTTTAGCCTCCTCGGAAACACTGACTGTCAGCATGGATCTGTCATTTGCAGCTTTCCTGTTTTCTTAATAAATATCAAAAATAATACGTAAAGTTTGTCTAAAGTATATTTTAATCTGTCCATCACATTCATTCAGAGGAAACCATGCACAGATTTGCCACTAGGGGGAGCTACTGTCCTTTCAGTCATAGATCATTTGCAATGTATTTCCATTTTTATCTGAATCAGTACCACTTTATTTGCAAGAGTTCAAAGTCACTTATAGGGAGTGCAACAACAAGATAAAGCACGAGTCTAAGCTGCAATACATTTTTGGAAAAAACAAAACTGAAAAATATTCCAAAAATATGAGGTTAATTATTACTTACAATGTTATGTTTTTTTTTAAAGATTATTTACCAGTGAGCAATTCCAGCCATTTTAAGGAATCAGCAAACAGACACTCAACCACCTACGGAACATAAAAAGGACCAACATACACATTTTAGGGAATGTTATTGCCTGGTTTACTTGGTTTAATTATCATCCCATATTTGCTTGTCTTGAGTAAAGAAACAAAATCAACAGCATATTCAACAGAAATCTGATATTTTACATTACATTGTTACATACAATGACTACAGTGTTTTCCTCGTTAAACCAAGTTCACCATTTGTTTTTGGACAGGTGTCTCAGCAGAAGGTCTCAGCAGAGTGGCAGCTGTTTGAGTGTTGGAAACAAGTCTTTTTTTAAGTGTCTAATCATCCAACTTCCAGAAATTAAGAAGCTTTATTAGCTTTATAGAACTCAAAGAACGCTGTGACTCTTAATCAATTATTTGGCAAAATATATCTGAGGGTCTTCCATATAACATAAGAGATGTAACTAACAGAGGTCAGTGAAGTGACCATTGGGAACTTTGTTCTCTCAATCTTATTACTAATATCTTGTTAATAGGACTTCACAAATTTAGAACTGTGCCAGAAAATCCAGCCCTGTTTATTTATTTATGGTTAATGTGATAGGGATGGATACAGTATACAACATAGACAGGCTGGAAACAGCCATCCTGTGCAAGAATGCTAATTCTCAACACCCATCCCTAGAAGGGCTTTTATGAAAGTAAGAGCCCTGTCTAGTAATATAATATGGGCAACTATGCTGAATGCAGCAGAAACAACTAATAACACTGCAACTGACATTTTGCCACAGTCTATATTTAAATCAATGTAATTTAAAATGTAGAAGAGATAGAACTTTTATTTGATGCCAGCAGAGACCTGAGTTGTTAGAAAACATTTTTTTTAAAATAGTTTCACTTGTATTGTACTGATGTATTATAGGAGAAAATATATATTTTTTCTATGAAGCATCTGTAACTGTGTATTAGCATTATATAACAGTGTAACATACCTACAATGACATTTAATTATATGATACGGCTGGTTCACTTGAGGAGTTTTAGGTGTTAACACATACATGTATATAGACCTGTACAATTTACAAGTACATTATAGACTATTGTTTTATATATTATTATATATATTACTTATAAATGCTAAATAGGGGTTAAAAGTGTTGCCATGAGTTCTAAATAGTGTTTAATTATCTCATTATAGTAAAGTCAAGGCATTTGTTTTTCTTTTATTTTTAACTATTTAATGTTGCTATTTTTTTTTTTACGTCAATAAAAGCTCTTATTTGTGCCATGTGTTGTGTACCTACAAACCATTCTGGTGTAGCTTCATTCAAAGGTAGCTCTGGCCCATCTATGTCACTGCAGTACCCGCCGTGCAAATGTCGGTGTACGCCGGCTGTCATACACAGTGCACCCATGTGAACGTCATCCTCAAGACGTCATCCAATCAACAGGTCGTTTCCTCACGATTGCCACGTATTTGGTGAAATAGAAAGCTGTATTTTATGTAGGCGTACACCGTCGTAGCCAATCCCAATCGAGGAGGCGGGACAAAGAGGCTAGCGACTGTTCTGACAGGGGAGCTCTCTCAACACCGAAAACAGACCGAGAGAGAAAAAAAAAAAATCACACCACTACGCAAATCCTTCCAATGGAGGAGGGCCAGGACGTTGAAGCTTGTTCGGCAAATGAAAAGAACGTCTGCAAGCTAGCTACCTAGCTCAACTAGAGAGAGAGAGAGAGAGGAAACAAAAGTTGTGAGTAATGTCAGCTTAACGAATATTGAAGTAAGTGAGGACACGGCGGATGCTGTCTGATGTACTTAACGTTGGCTTACGTCAAGTTCCGTGATTAACTTTGCCGTTGAGGTTAACGTTAGCTTTCCAACTGTGGCAGCCGTAACTTAATGTTAGCATGCTAAAGAAGGAGTTTGGCTCCTCTGCTAGTGTGAGTTAATCGCCTAGTTACCTTGCAAGTTTTAATCGTAGGCACGGTACGAATTCCTGTTGTCACTAGTTTTTATCGTTGCCAAATAGCTAGCTAAGCTGTTAACATTGCTACCATACCAGTGTGCTGAACGTTAACTTATAGCTAGTTGACAACTGGCTGCTCTGTTGGTGCTAGCTAGCCTCCACATTAGCAGTCCCCTTAATACAGTATCAACACCAGGCTAGTTGCTAACTAAAGGCTACCATGAACGTTGCCTTACTGTGTGCTACCCAATTGAAACGTAACGTTAGCTGCTTATTGTTTCGTTTTTGGGGCAAAGCTTTGTCTTTGTAGTAAAATCTATTTGTGTCAGACAACAAAATTGTGTGGTATGTTAACCCGCAGTATCAAAATAAACACGCACACACAGTTAACTCAGTGAACCTCGTGTTTTTGTGTTTTTACAATGCAGTAGATTTATCTGGGACATAAAGCAGTGGAATAAAGCTGCGTTATTTCGCTGATATCTAAGAGAGTAACGTTACTTTTGTTTGTGTGAGGCCACACTTTGAAAGATGGTTGTTTGAAGGGGCCATAACATGCCCTGGCATGGTGGTTCTTATGCATTGGCACAACACTGAGAGAACTGTCAGCTTTGCATCTAGCATTCCTCTGAGGACTTCATTCTCCTTGTTCAGAGTCCATCTGACACACAATGAGGCATTTGTTCGTTTGCTGTAGAGACACAAGCAGTGGCACTTGGATACAGACAGACAGGAATCTGGTCAGTCTGCTGTGTGGTCGGAGGTGGAGATGGCCAAACTATTTCAGTGGAAGGCACAGTGACAGAAGAAAAGTCATTTTGTGTTCACTCGAGGGCCCACATGAGGGTGAACTATGCTCTGAGTAATGAGAACTTTGCTGCGCCTGTTTGCATATAAAGGTTTAAAGGTTAGTCCTGTTAACAGAAGGTGAAACTGAATGTATTTTTTGCTCATCTAGTAGTGTTTGAGATGGCTACTGCGGTGGTACTGCTATGAAGTGACACCCGTAGTTGATGCATTTGTACACTTGTGCTTGCCCTGGCCTATGAGATCAGAAGGCTTCGCAACTGGCTGAATCCCCTTCGTCCCTGTCAGGATAAGCTTCTGAATGGCTGTACAGATGTGTATTCTCTTGTACATGCACAAATTAGAAGGAATCCCCTAGATTGCAGATAGCTATCTATCTGTGATTATCCGGGGCAGATTTCCAGTGAATTAGTGTGTTTGGTTTCATCGGGTAAAACATTTATGGCATTGAAGAGTATGGGGAGGAAAAACCAAGCTCTGTAAAATGCCCCCACAGTGGCCCCTCACTAAGCTGCCCCCTGCAAGGATTAACTGTTAACTCAGCATTTCAGTGGTGACTACAAAAATATTATGCAATATACAAAAATAACTCTATTCCTTATTTGGATTTTTCATCCAACAATCTTATCAACCCAAAACGTTGTGTTTTATTTTGCTCTTTTGGTATGTTTGAACTCTGTAGCAGTGATCAATTGCTGCACAGTTTTTGGGTGTCATATTACCAGCAGCTTGCATACTGGATACATTGCATGCGTACAGCTTTTTGTCATCCAACTTGCTTTTATATTTAATTTTTCCTATTACCTAACCTTTACTTTCTTTCTACTGACTACCATGTTGTCATCTGGTAAAAGTAAACACAAAGTACCTCTTTGAAAGGGCTTGAAACTGGCAAATACTCAGATATTTTGGATGGTTCAGCACCTGCCTCTATGTCCCTCGACCTCTCAGTGGTTAACCTGGTGCTATATGAGCAGCACCTATAGGACATCCTGATTGGCCCTTTACAAAACTATCTGTGCTCTCCATGTCATATAATATTAGCTCTCTTTAATTGCCTACTTTACAGTAGATGAACTCTTATCTAAACGTAGACTGACCAGTTGGATCCAGGTGTGTGCGCGTTTGCATTTGCACATGGCTAAATTATTAACTTGACAACTGAACAAATAATGCTTTGTGGAATTGCACATAAATTTGGCTGAAAACCTTGCTCCTCAATTCAATACTGTCCCCAACCAATTCCTCTGAATGCTTGCAGCACCCATATATATGGTCTCATTGCCCTGCACTGAGCATTGAACCCAGCGCAGACTGTATCTCTAGATTGAATAGTGGTCGCTGTGGCCTTTCGTTCTGTTCGTGGGAAATTCACACACCACAATGAATTCTTCCTGTGAAACAAAATGGTTGATAAAACAAAATAAAATATATTGGGTTACTTTCTAATGTGTCGTAGCCTACACAAGAACAAAATAATTTGTTTTCAAACAGATGTTTTTGTGTTTCTGTGTTTATAGGTAATTATTGATGGTTCTTTAGTGTTTTTGGAAATCAGCTGTTGGTCACCATCTAAGCATCTTAAGCATTCTTTTCATTGATTGCACTGAAAGACTTGGTGTAATGTAGCACACAATAAGGACTGAGTCTAGCTAGAAATAACCTATAATTGAGCCCTGCTGAGGAAGATTATCCTTGGCTTTGGGAGAGAGGGTTTGGAGCATAATTGATGTTTGGGTCTGCCTTCGCCAAAGAAACCACCCTGTCTTTGCCCTCAAGGCAGCCTCAGTGGAGTTGCCAGTGTTACAGCCATGTTTAGATCCATTGACGGTACATCAGTGCTTCATATTTTCTGGCTATACATGTCATCCAGAGCAAGATAAAGATAAGAAGAATATCTGTTGAAACATGCAAA